AAGAAAAGAAAATGAAACTATAGAATAACCAGGCTAGGAGGAACTAGTTTTTCCTCACTGGACCTCAACAAAGCCCTATTTCCTTCTCCCCAACCCCTTTAAAATTTTAAGGAACAGCAACTGAAACACTCTTTCATTGTTTAAAATCAGTGTGTTGTCCAGATGCAGAGACCCAAAGTCAAACATTAGGCTGAAAGTGGTGATATTTTATTTGTGCTGAAATGTGGTGATGTTTTATTTGTATGTTTATAAATAATGTTTGCCTGGAGATCAGAGGTAATAGCAAGCCATTAACACAAAAGTCAGGCAGTGGTAGCACATGCCCTTAATCCGATCACTTGGCAGGCAGGGTCTCTGTGTGTTCAAGGACACATTAGGGAACAGCCAAACATGGTGACACACGCCTTTAATCCCAGTACCAACCATAGAGACCTGGAGGTCTTTACAGACAGGCAGTGACAAGGAAGTGAGGTAGCTGGGCTAAGAGCCAATGAGAGGGCAGAACAGCAAGGCAATAAAGGTGCAGGTAAGACAGGAAGTAGCTCACTTTTTGGTAGCTGCAGAGCTGGAGAGGTAAGGTTGGTGGCTATCACTACTTCACTGATCTCTAAGGCTTTCACCCCTATATTTGGCTTCGTGTTTCTTATTTAATAAGACCATTTAGAAATTCATCTACAGCTGAGCTCAGGGAATCCTGCTAAAGGGGGGGGGGAGGATTATAGGAGCCAGAGGGTCAAGGACACCAAGAAACCCACAGAATCAACTAACTGGGCTCCTAGGAGCTCACAAAGACTGAGCCAACAACCAGGGAGCTTGCATGGGACTGACCTAAGCCCCCTGCATATATGAGACAGCTGTGTAGTTTGGTCTTCTCAGGGGGACTCCTAATAGTGGGAGCCCGGGCTGTCTCTAACTCTTTTGCTGGCTTTTGTGAACCTATTCCTCATACAGGGTTGCATTGCCCAGCTTTAATACAAGGGAAGGTGCTTAGTCCTACTGTAATTTGATAATTGCCATGTTTTGTTGCTATCCATGGGGGGCCTGCCCCTTTCAGAACAGAAACAGAGGAGGAGTGGATGGGGGGGGCGCACAGAGGAGAGGGGAGGGAAGGAAATGGAAGGAGAGGAGGGAGGGGAAACTGCCATCAGGAGGTAAAAAAATTCATACATACATGTATACATCATACATACATATGTTGTCAAGGACAGAGGAGGTAAGGCTCAAAGCTGATGTGGGTGGGTCCATGCTCAAGAATCTTCAATCCCCAATAATTTCTTACCAGCTACCTAACTAACACTGTCTCTACTGACAGCTGGAAAGCCAAGGCTGAAGGGGAAGCAGTGTAGACCACTTAGAGCAATAACGTTTATGGGCCCCTGTTTCTCTACTTTATCTCCACTGTGGTACCCATCACGAGACACCCATCATTCACAAGTAGTGACTTCATGCTGAATCTACAACATTTCACTGTAAGTTCATTTCATTCTCCAGGTTGTTCTTAATGGGTGAAGTTTGAATCCATCGTACCAATGGATCACGTGACACAGGTCTGAACCAATCAAAATACCATATTCCCCGGGTTTGGTGAGTGATACAGGATGTTAAGGAAACTCAATCAAATCCAAGGAGACAGGCAAGAGAAGGTATTCTTCAGTCAGAAAACTCACTTGGAATTAGGGGACATAGACACTTCTATAATTTCTTTACAACCATCAGGTGTGCGTTCACCAGAAACTGGGGCTTCCACATCAAAATGGATGGCACAGAATCCAGAAACAGGTCCCTAGGATACCATCTGAGCTCTGAGATGTACTAGAGGCCAGATCTACTGGCAGGACTTTGAAATGGTAAATCACTAAATTTCCTTTTTTATTTAAGCAACCAGGGGTGAGATTTTCTTCCATTTCCCACGAAGTGATACAATCCAAACATTAGTATTTTGTACCTGTCTCTCCCCTTCTTCCCCAATTGCAAAACTCACCCTTTTCTTTCCCTCCTTTTAGATTGCAACACCAGCCAGAAAATGACTTCACAAGATAGAACTAGCACAAAATAGAAATGAATGGAGAACAAGAGACCTTACCAGTAAACAAAGAAACTCAAGTTACAGTGAGAATGATTTTACCCTGATTACAATGTCCCATAAAAAAAAACTTTTAAAATGACAACAGCCAACTTTAACAACAATTGTAATGAAAAAGGTACATTCGTATATTACTTGTGACACTATGTCTCTCTTAGGGTTTCTATTGCTGTGAAGAGACACCATGACCAAGGCAACTCTTAGAAAGGAAAAACATTTCATTGGTGTGGCTTACATTTTCAGAGGTTTAGTCTATTGTCATCATGGTGGGACATGGTGGCATGCAGACAGACATGGTGCTGGAGAGGTAGCTGGGAGTTCTACATCTTGCATGGACAACAAGAAGTGGTCCCAGACACTGGGTGTGGCTTGAGAATATATGAGACCTCAAAGCTGCCTCCACAGTGACACACTTCCTCCAACAAGGCCATACCTACTCCAATAAAGCCACACCTCTGAATAATACCACACCCTTTGGGAGCCATTTTTTTTTAAACCACCACACACTGCAATCTGGTATAGCAATTTTGGAAATATATATTGCAACATGAGCTTAAAATTGCTTACAACCTTTGATTCAGTAAATCTATTCACAGACATTTACTTGAAGTATTACATGACATCTCCCATGCTCAACCCCTGCGTAGCTTCAACTTATCAATGCCCTACCTAAAAACTACCAAAACTAGATATCACATTGTACATGTAATAAAATGTAGTATCCCTATTCATTTTCAACAAGTTGAATATCATTCCTGCACATACTTTTTCTTTTGGAACTTTCTACCAATCTTGTCCAATTGCATGAAGTGCAACTGTCTCTGGAGTTCTACATTGTGAGTCCTTTATATGTTTATGCCTTATCTCTGTACAACTGGAAATTTTTAAAGCACCACCTTCCATCTCTATTACATCCATTTGTTAGTCAACAAATGTCTGCACCTGTGTCCTGAAGAGTGGAAACCCTGCATCAGCACCACTAACCAGCAATAAATGTCTTCCTGGGAATATTCAGACTTGAAAGAATGGGAAAAGGAGCTAACCACAAACAAGCCAGTCCTAGCAATAGACTTACAGACAGCTTCTGCAGAAATTTTCTGTGGCCCCATGAGTTTTTCAGTCTTGAATTTAATACAAAGGTGGCCAATAGTAAGTATCCTCAGTTGTCCCTTCCAAGAGCCCCATGACCAGAAGAAGGGCAGCCTCTCAACTCTCCAGACTTCGGCAATTCCTGAATATTCCATGCCACTTCATGGCTTCTGTGCCTTTGAATACTTTCTTCCTTCTGTAATACTGCCAGATGGATGCATTCCTCAAGACCCGATACAAAGAGTCCTCTCAGTGGCACTCGCTCTAGTCTCTTCCAGGCTGATCAGTGCTGACACTGTCCACTGCACTCATCATCATTACTGGTTTTCAGGATTGCATGGATCCCAGTATTCCTGATCTCCAATTACTTCCTTGCCTAGCTGATCTGTCCACTGTGCCCCCAGAGTCCTTGAGTCTCTCATTCTGTTCCACATTCCAGTGTTCAGTTCAGACTGTGCTCAACAAATGCCCATTGAATAAATTTAAATTAATTACAATAGGATCTTTTTGAGAATTGTAGTTGATGAGGAACAAAATGATGATGTGCACGTTGTAGAGTCCAGGCAGTTCTGCAAGCTTCTGTGCATGTGTATACAGAGACACATAAGCATAAAAGCACACACACACAGGCACACACAGCACACACCTCACCAGCCTCAGGTGTAACCCTGCTGTAGGTTTTAGAATATTCAAAAAGGGAATGCATGACCCACTGAAGCCTTTTCCCAGAATAGCACCATGCATCCATCCATCAGAATAGTTGGGCTGCCACTTGAGGAGGTAAAGATGCTGAGTGTTTTCACCCAAAAGGTGACATTTTGTCTCATAGTGTTAATTTCCCACCTTAAAAACTTTATACTACAAAACAAATCCAGTAAAGGCCTGTCAGGTCAGCAATTATAAATGGCAAAGTGAAGATAGATTAATTCCTGCAAGAGTGAGCTTGAATTATTCCAAAAGGCTTGTATTTAAAAAAACAATTTGACATAGACTAATGAGTTTTGTGTCTTCATAAAGCAAGATCTTTGTTTGGCTTGAAATACAATCCAATTTTCCTGCAGTGCTAAGTATACAGATTTGTTTAACTTGGTCTGAATTTGAACTCTGAAGTTCTGATTATCATGGGTAGACTTTCCCACAGTCAGAATGCCGCTGTTTAGGAACAATTTCACTTGTACAAGTGAGCAGGTAGGTTTGAGACAGAAACACACATTTGACAAATAGAAGTGGAAATAGAGGTAGACCCCACTTTAAAACATTCATAAAACAACTGCCAAACACGCCAGTGAAAAAAACTGAAATATCATTCTCTCTTTAAAGCTATTCCTCAAGAATGCCTTAAGGTAGATGCTTGTACTTAACTCTGCATGCCAGTCTGACAAATTTAACCTAAGAAAGACACTGTAAGGACATGCAAGGACTTGTGTTCAAGGTGAGTTAGTGTAGAATCAGTCATAGAAACAATCAAACAAAAAGATGCAATCCTTGACAGTTCTTTAAAAACAGAAAAACAAGAAGGTCCATGTAGCAAAAACAGGACACAGTCTTGACGGGTGATATTGGAGATTACTGTGTAACACTGGGGGAAATGTTCTTGATATAGACTAGGAGAGAAAGGAACAAGAAGTATGTTCCTTGTCTTTGTTTGTTTGTTTGTTTGTTTAAAGAGAGAGGGAGAAAGAACGGGCGAGGAGTTGAATGTGTGAGGAAGTGGGAAGGATCTGGGAGGAGTTGAGGGAGAGGAGGCACGATCAGAATATACTGTATGAAAACAATTTCAATTAAAAAAATAAACAATAAAAGTAAAGAAACAAAAACAGTGTGAGTGTGGGCTTGGGAGCCAGCCTGTCTTGCTCAAACCCTGTTTCTATTGTTCCTGTATAGTTGCAGGCAAGTTACTGGTTCTCCAGATGCCCCAGTTTCCCCATCTGTGAGGATAACCAGTACAACCTCGAACACAAAGTCATCATGAGAACTTAGCCAACGTATTAGGAGTTCTTACAAGTAAGTAAGACAGTTATAAATGCAAACGTTGGCTCTGAACATTTACAGTGTGTTTTCTGTTTGAAACAGGATGTATGAATACTTTAGTCATGAGAAAAAAATACATAAGTCATTAACCAATATTATCTTAATGAGATTAAGAATAATTTTAATGGCTGGAGGGATGGCTCAGCAGTTAAGAGCACTGGCTGCTCTAGCGGAGGACATGGATTCAGTGGATCTTGACAACCACCTGTAACTACAGTTCCAGACGATTCAATGCCCTCTTCTGGCCTCTGAGGGCACTGTATGCATATGATTCACATACAAACATGTAGGCAATATACCCATACACATAAAATAAAAATAACACTTTCATTAAAAAAAAGAATAGTTTTAAGTAATTTTTTTACTTTCTTAAAATAAAGAACATTTTTATAATTTTTAAATGTTGATAATTTTCAATAAAATGCTTCTTCATTCTTTTGCTTCTAAAACAGTAACAAAGCATTATCTTAAGAAGAGTAATTATGGAATAATACAGTGGAATGTGACATGTGGTAGCAGATTTTTAAAATTCAATAAAAAGCCAGTGAGTGTATCTAGAATATTTGAAGTCCATGGTATAGAGTGAAACATGACTGTAGTTCTGTTATGTTTTGATTCTTTTTTTAATTTTATAATTTAATTTAAATTTACATATCAGCCATGAATTCCCCTGTCTCCTCCGCTCCCCCTCCCCTGCCTTCCCCCCCAGCCCACCCCCCATTCCCATCTCCTCCAGGGCAAAGACTCCCCTGGAAATTCAGCTCAACCTGGTAGATTCAGTCCAGGCAGGTCCAGTCCCCTCCTCCCAGGCTGAGCCAAGTGTCCCTGCATAAGCCCCAGGTTCCAAACAGCCAGCTTATGCACTAAGGACAGGTTGTGGTTCCACTGCCTGGATGCCTCCCAAACACTTCAAGTTAATCAACTGCCTCACTTATCCAGAGAGCCTGATCCATTTGGGACCTCCTCAGCTATTTGTTCATAGTTCATGTGTTTCCATTAGTTTGGCTATTTGTCCCTGTGCTTTTTCCAATCTTGGTCTCAACAATTCTCACTCATACAATTCCTCCTCTTTCTCGCAAATTGGACTCCTGGAGCTCCACTTGGGGCCTGGCAGTGGATCTTTGCATCCGCTTCCCTCAGTCATTGGATGAGATTTCTAGCATGACAATTAGGGTGTCTGACCATCTTGTCACCAGAGTAGGTCAGTTCAGTCAGTCTCGACCATTGCCAGCAGTCTATTGTAGAGGTATCTTTGTGGATTTCTGGGGACCTCTCTAGCACTTTACTTCTTCCTATTCTCATATGGTCTTCATTTATTATGGTCTCTTTTTCCTTGTTCTCCCTCTCTGTTCTTGATCCAGCTGGGATCTCCCACTCCCCTAAGCTCTCTTTCCCTCAACCCTTGCCCTTCATTACCCCCACTCACGTCCAGGTTGTTCATGTAGATCTCATCCATTTCTCCGTCATTGGGCGATCCCTGTGTCTTTCTTAGGGTCCTGTTTTCTAGGTAGCCACCCTGGAGTTGTGAGTAGCAGTCTAGTCTGGTATGAACTGTTAAATGCTCTTCATTTAACAAGTGCCAAATATGTGACCAGATTACATAGAAATCCTGGCTTGATCTTAGGATAGGGAAATCTGACACACACACACACACACACACACACACACACACACACACACACACACACACAAAAAAAAAAAATTAGTAACATTTGAAGAAGGGGAAACAGTGTGGCAGTTTGGGTAGAGGAACAAAGGTGGGCATTGGCCACAGTTTGTAAAAGGCAGTGACTAGATTCATCAATCAGCACTCAGTAGATGGCCATTGCAAAGCCCACTGAGAAACACAAACACGAGCATTCTGTCACTCTGCTGGTAGCTATTGGGCACTTAGGATATGTCAGGCACCTGACTGGTGCTAAGAATGCTGTCCCCAGAAGGTTGTGATTCTTGTCTTACTTTGCAAAGTATTGAAATCTAGTGACCAGACAGTAATACAGCCATTTCCAACAATTATAAATTGTATTAAATGGGCTAAAGGAAACAGCAGATGCAGGGAACAGGACCTAGTC